GAGAGAGAGAGAGAGAGAAAAAAAACGCGCGCTCTCTCGCTCACACGCGCGCGTGTGTGTGTGTGTGTGTGTGTGTGTGTGTGTGTGTGTGTGCATGTGTGTGCGCGCGCGCACACACACATATATATATATATATATATATATATATATATATATATATATATATATATATATATATATATATATATATATATATATATATATATATATATATATATATATATATATATATATATATATATATATAAAATATATAATATATATATATATTTATTTTTTTATTTTTTTATTTATTATTTATTTTTTTTATTTTTTTGTAGGTTTTTGCGTTCCCCCACAAAACTGTTTTTTCACAAACACTTCCTGTTCACTACAGACATGTCAACCCTCCTGTTTTTGCCAGAATTCTCCCGTATTTTTCCTTTCCATCCCGCTATCATCCTATCATTAAGTATTTTCTCATATTTCCCATGTATTTTTAATCTTGAAAGCACATTGAAGCGAATATAAAAATGTCTGCCTTCACTTTCTTTCCATAAAAGTTGTGCGTTGATCATCGCTCTTCATATGCAACCTCTGAATCAGTGAATGCATGTAAACGGACGCTCTCCGTATGATTACCTGACCCCAGATCAGCTTTTGTACACTGATCGACGCACAGCTATTACGGAAAGAAAGTGAACGCAGACATTTTGAATATTCATTTCAGTGTGCTTTCAAGATTAAAAATACACAAGAAATATGGGAAAATACTTCATGATAGGATGATAGCAGAATAGAATGGTAAAATACAGGAGAATCCCAGCAAAACCGGAAGGCTTGAAATGTATGAAGTGAACAGGAAGTGCTTGTGGAAAAACGCTTTGCGAGAGAACACAAAAACTTAAAAAACAACCAATAAATAAATAAAATTACTATCAGTTTTTTCCCTCTTACCCATTTTTTTTTTCCCCACCATCACGTCCCTTCTGAGTTTTTGTATTTGTAAAATATTTGATTAAGAAAATAAGTAAATTCAAAGGGGGCTAATAATTCTGACTTCAACTAAATAAGCGGACCCAGCCATTGGAATCTTTTTGGTTGGAGACTTTCGCTTTCATTCACTTCTATTGATTTTTAGTTGTTAAAAATGGCTTGTTATGATGCTTGATGTTGCAAACTGATTATATTACTCTACTATTTATGTAGAGTCATGAACACGCTTGTTTGTAGAGCGAGTAGTTTGACCGTTTTCTGCCGTTTATTATTATCATTTCTCCCATAGGCAAAATAAGGTCTATAACATACATTTCAAGAGTTTCCACCTAGATATGCTTAGCGTTTATTGCAGGTTTGGCATGCTGTCCCGAGAGAGAACCCTGAGCTCGGAGATACTTGAGCCCAAGGCTCCCATCCCGGTCAATAAACATATAATCCGAGATAAGGTATGTCTCTAGAGCTCCCCCTTTAGAAGGGGAGAAAAAGGTGGAGATGGGGTGGAAGGGGGATTCTTCCAAAACAAAGATAGAGCAGTAAGGAAAAAAACAATCCTCTCCAGGGGGATGATTATTCGGTCATCAAATACAGGTTTAAGTTTCTTTTTTCTGCTGAACACAAAAGAGTTGACTGTTTTAGTCCTATCGCTTTAAAATAAAAAACACTGTACATTTATATTTAGGCCAAAACACTGATTTATTTATTTATGTACGTACGTATGTTTATACTTTAATTTTAGTTGTCTTTTGTCTTTGGTTTTTTTTTTCTTTTTGTGTTTTATATATTTATATTTATATACGGTCTTATTCTGTAAACAATGTATGTTCTTAACTGTTTGTTCTTAATTGT